AAAACAAAGAAATCAGTTACCTAGACTAAAATATTATAATGTGCCTCCATGTCTTCACCTTATTTCCTGATAGTGTTGGTTTCTTTTGTTACCTACATCTGACCACTTTATGATAACCAAATGTATATGCTGTTGTCAGAGTTCCGCTAAACAGTACTAAAAAGCATGCACAAGTCTTCACATGTATGCCAGTTATGTTTTGTTTAGTTGAGTAGGCTTTTATTCTTCATTTGGACTTGGTATACCCTTGGCTTCCCCTATATTCAGTATATCTTAATCATTTTTCTGATATAATCATTTGATTCAGCTATCTCAAAATGGCCATCCTTGTTGCATTTTGGAACGAGATCTTGTTTCAAAGAAACAAAATGTTAATTCTGTCATCGGGGGTTGGCGTGTGATTTATAAATTTTGGCCTATGCATCATTTGGTTTTTAATGTTTTCAGCTGTGTTGTACTTCCTTGTTGGACTGAGAGACAGTAAGTTCCCTAAAATAACTATCACATGTTTATTTAACTGTTTCACATTTATTTATTATCAGTTGGTGCTTAAATAAACACATGTGTTTATTTAAAACATGATCTTATAATAAATGCTCATTAGGAACCTCAAGGCTGGAAGAAGCCCCCAAAGTTTTGACCAAAAATCACCATGTCACTCATGAAGAAGAAGACAAGAAAGAAGACAAACCGCGTGACAAAATGGAATCTAGGTCAGCAACAAAATCATCCTTTTTATGCTGTAACACTTTATTTTATTGTAGCCCAAATTTTGAAAATTTTCTCTCAGGTTGCAAATCTCCAAGAGCAACTTGGTTTTTTTTTCAGTGAGGATCGAATCTCTCATTGCCTTCTAGACAAGTAAGGAAAGTATAGGCAGCATTTAAAGCCTTTGTAAGTGGCCGACCAAAGAGGACCCTGAGTCCTCCATACGTGTTCTTTTAGTTTTTGTACATGTGCCAATAATGTACATGTTCTAGGAGAAGGCATAGAGAGATTGAAATGACGTCCAGGGGTCTGTCTCTCAGCAATAGCACCTGAGTGACCACACATTTCTGTTCGCATTAACTGGGTCAGCCCCTTACTTTACTTTTTTTAAAAAGTGTAAGTTCAGGATTTGTAACCCTGAAAATTATACTTACTCATGTTTTACCTTGGGTGCATTCCAGTGACCTTCATGACACCTGAATCTCATTAGGCCAGTGAGTCACTGCTGGAATGACATCGTATGGTCAGCAAATGTCATGTACAGCCAGCTATGTGCATTTAAACTTGAAAGAAAAGGCTCTTCTGTCTTGAGGCCTATTTTGTCTTGGGCGCTATAATGTCATTCTCTGTTGACTGCCTGCAAGAAACACCTGTAGTACTGACTTTATTTTCAAGTATTAAGTGTTCTTTAAAATACAACCCTTTACTTCCCATACACTTTATATGGGCTTGGAGAAAAGAGGACGTTTAGAATAGCAAGAAATTACAACTGGAAAACTATCACTCATTTCCTCGAGCACCGTTAGACCCACATCTAAGTTACCCATGTCTTCCCCGGGTGAGATTGGGTGTGAGATGCTGAGGGAATCTGACTGTAAAACAGATAAGGACTGATTATTTCTCTCTTGCATGTGTGTCCATGTATGTGTTTTTGACGGTGCAAAGTAGTCCAGTACTTGATAGAAATCTCTTTACATTCCCATGCATAGTTTCCCCTACTTAAAAAGGATGAATTAGTCCTATATAGTAACAACACAGACAATGTAGTGAATCGGTATAAGTTATGTTAGTACACACAAGCAATTTCGCTATAAACATTCACATACTGCTGCATGCTGTGTGTGTGTGTGTGTGTGTGTGTGCGTGTGTGTGTGTGTGTGTGACTAAAGTAAATACTAATTTCTCTATATGCTCTTGGTGTTACTAGGAAAGAAGACATGGCAGATGAAGAACCAGCAGAAGTACAAGATGAAGATGGATTTCAAGAACAAGGTTTAAAAATGAATAAAGAATTCCAGCCAGAAGATGATCACGGATTTCCCCAGGTTTGCTGGTTTGACATACTAACAGTGGATAAGAACCAGCAAATAAAGTTCAATTGAAACCCAAAGCAGCAATTGGTGTCTTTGAGCACATGTAGCATTCATGGCTGCATCTTTACCTTACAGTCTCACTGTTACCCAATACCACTGCAGGTCAATTTCAGCCACCCTTGGCAAAGTTCTGAAGTGTTTCTCAGGGGCAACACACAAAAGCAGAAAGCAGCAGATTATAGATTAGTAGTCCTATAGTTTAAAATCCTAATTGCTTACACAGACTAAATGTCCCAGGTCAGTTTTCCCCATTGTGCATTCTGTGATGCCACACAGGGCGTTCAATTATACTTTGCCTCCCCCAACAGGAGAGAAAGTGAGATATTACAAATGCCTTATCAAATTGACCACCAGGAATGGCTCACCCTTCTAAATCCAAACCTCTGGATAAATAAATCCCCAAGCTGAGTTCAGACTATACTCATTTTGAATTATTCCCGTAGCTCAATTTATTTTCTCAGTTTTCACGTATCATTCATCAAACTGCTTACAGGAAAGTTTGATAAGTGGTTGTACACACTTCAGGAAGTAACCTTTACAACTCCTCTGAGCTTTTGAGAAATGGAAGAATTTTGGATCCTGTTGCCTTGTAAAGGGATAGTTCTATAATCATTTACATTTAAAGAAAGGTGGTCTAATATGCATAATGATAACCATGACAACTGGAAGCTTCCAGTTAAAACTTAACCTCAGTCTTTACATTTTAACTAATGCTTTAAAAACTGATAATCCTCGACTATGATACATATATTGTATATATAGGAATCCTCAATCAAAATATTATCACTATTTAACTTTTTAAACTAATGTTCTCTGATGTCACTCAGATATACTGAGATTAAATGAAACCCACTAAAAACTATTAAAAAGGAGAAGGGAGGAGGGAAGGTGACTAAGACTGTAATATACATGAGGTGATTTTGACCACAATACATTACACACACGTTCTAAGTATCACAATGGGGTCCTTTTGCATAATTAACTTACACTAATAAAAATGTTTTAAAAATATTTTTACATAAATTTCCTAGAAAGGGGATACCAAAATAAAAAATCAGGAAGCTGTGGAGAAACACAAGAAGGGACATGAAAGAATCATGTTACAAAATTTGCAAGAAAGATTAGAAAGAAAAAAGCTACTCACTCACTGTCTTGGGGTCATTGTGTTGAACAATGTTGAGCACAAGATAACAGAACATGTTTTTGAAAAACACAAAGCAGATGTGTGTTAGCCCCTGACTGTTCTACTATATTCTTTATCAAGGAGCTGACTTCTACACAGAATTGACCATTCCTCTCCTCATGGACTCTTAGTGGTTATTACAGCAGTGCCTCAACATGTCAAACCTTTGGGAACAGTGCTTCTTTGAACAGAGTACCTCCAGTCTGGTAGGGGTTGTTGAAAGTTAGAGTTTCTTCTAAAGTAGACTGGAATTTGCAACTTCTATGTTCGAAAGAAGTGAAGGCCTCTGGTGGAGGGGGCGCAGGGGATGTGTAAGGTAGGGCCACATTTTGTGTAATTGATGTGACTAATCTGGGAGACCTGGCCCAAGTGAGGTGCCTCATGCCTTCCTGTTGCTGAGATGGCCAGGGAACCACCACCTTCTTCACCTGCCTCCTTTTCCCTCCGCTGCCCCGTCTTCTCTTTTTAGTGTCAAAATCTTCACTGGGTAGCACCGTTGAGGCACCATAGTTTCCTTAATGTCAGCTTCCGGAATGGTCTAAGACTAAGATCCTATTGAAATCTCTGCTTGGTTTGCAAAAATATGTGCTTAGTCTAAGTAATAAATTTTCATGTGTATGAAAATAGGAGTGAGAAGTTGTCATTTTGGGTGTTTGTGGTGTCATAGCAAGCACAGCTGCTGCCATTCACAGCATCTTATAGTTGAAACCTGGACTGGAAGGAGAAACCCAGCTGTTGCCCCAGGTCTTTCATTGTTTAAATCTGTGGTTTTGGAGCCATTTCAAACATTGTCCACCTTTGCAAAATGGAGATAATCAACTGCTCGAGTGCTACTGAGTTTTAACCTCTTTTCATGTTTGAATTTTTATTTCCCTTTAAATAGACACTTAAGAAAATCATGAAGCGGACGAGAGAGACAGATGGGAAGGTAATCTCCACACTCCGACCACCAGTGTGCAAGAATTCTTCTTGCTTCACATTCTTGCTAACTTTTTCATTTTTGCCAATCTGGTGATAATAAAATAAAGTGCATTCGCATTTCCTGGTCGTTAAAAGGTTTGAGCGTGTTTTCCTGTCTCTAGCTCACTTTCGTGTTTCTCTCCAGTGAAATGCTTGCTTAGGTCTTTTTGCCCAAAACCTTTGAGTTGGTTTTTCTTTTTCTAACTTTCTTATAGTTCTTTGCATGTTCTTGATAATGCTCTGTTTTGGTCGTGTGTTGGACATATCTTCACCCAACTTGTGGCTTGTTTTATTATCATCTTATGCCGCTTAGAAGCTCCTGGTGCTAATGCTTTTGCATTTATTAACATTTTCTGATGACTAGCAAAGTCAAGGGCCTTTCTCATATGCTTACTGGCCATTTAGAGATCTACTTTGGTGACATGTCTTTTCAAGTCACTTGTCCATTTGCCTATTTTGTCACCTGCCTTTTAGAGGTGTGTGTGTGTGTGTGTGTTTTACCCACTCTAGTTATGAGTCCTTTGTATATCTGTGGTACAGGGATCTTCTCCCATATTATAGTTAGCCTCACTCTCTTAATATCTTGTGATGATCCAGGAGTTCTTCATTTTAATGAGCTCCAATGTACCCTTGTTCGTTTATGGCAAATGCTTTGGGGGTCTGTTTCATAATTAATTGTTTTGCCCAACACCATGTCTTTTGATGGAGCACATGCATTCAAGAAGTGTTTTCTCTGGATTCTGTACTCTTTCTATTTTATATTACAGAACTGATTTTCTGGGGCCAGGGTGTGGCTCAAGTGGGTAGAGCACCTGCCTAGCAAGCACAAAGCCCTGAGTTCAAACCCCCCAGGACCACCAAAAAGAAAAAAAAACCTGATATTCTGCCTGTTTACAATTGCCAAGTTCTCATCATTCCTATTATTTCTAAAGGAGCATGAGAATGTAGAATCAGAATGTGATTTCTGAAAAGTGCTGGGAGTCACCATGTCAAAGTTCATTCGCGACTGGAGGCGTGACTCAAGTGGTAGGGCACCTGACTTGCAAGCACAAAGCCCTGAGTTCAAGCCTCAGTCCCACCAAAAGAAAAAGCATACGATGAATGTATTTTGTATTCATATATGAAAATAAAAGAATGAAACCTGTTGAAATTGTTCTAAGAAAGGAGAGAAGGGGGAAGAGGGAGAATGATGGAGGAGGTAAATCTGAGATGTGTTGTAAGCACATATGTAAATATCACATGTATGCTTAAAAAAAGTTCATTCAACTTGCGAAGCAGAGATGGCTCCTATAAACCTAGCTTCTCAGGAGGCAGAGATCAGGAGGATCATAGTTCAAAGACAGCCCCAGCAAATAGTTCAACAGACCCTATCACAAAATTATCCAACACGAGAAAGGGCTGGTGGAGTGGCTCAAGCCATAAAGTACCTGCCTAGCAAGTGTGAAGCCCTGCGTTCAAACCCCAGTACCACCAATATTAAACAGTTCACTTAAGACATTGGCTCAAAAAGTTTGGCCTCAAGCAACAGCCAAAGAACTTTTTAGCTCTTCACTGACTGGTCCCACCCTGGCTTTAATTAGGATTCCAAGCAGGCAGAAGACAAATTGGCGGTCCAAAGCTGAAGGCCCTTGGTCAGGGAAATTTTTCATTCTTGAATGTCTTAGCTGAAAGACAGAAGTAGGGTGACCTGCCCCTGTCCCCTGTATGTAGGTTCTTGGAGCCAGTTACAAATATTTGATTTTTTTACCTTTTATTTGAAATGCCAAAAGTTAGCCATCAAACCAATCTTTGCTTTTGTTTTGTGAGACAGGATCTCTTTATGTAGCTCAAGCCGGCCTGGAACTCACTAAGTAGCCAAGGCTGGCCTTCAACTTGAGGTCACCCTGCCTCAGCATCCCAAGTGCTGAGATCACAGGCAGGTGCCACCACGCCCAGCTACCATCAGTCCAGTCTTCAACTTTGACCTCCTTGAATTCTAAGGCAGGATGATTAAATATTAGATATAATCACGATTTTCATTTTTAAACACAGGCTTCAGAAACATCTGACAAGGACACATCTGAAGAGGATGAGGCTGACGAGGATGAAATAGAGGGTGATGAAGACCCCCTTGATGAACTGTCTGCATCAGGTGTGCTTGCCACCAATGGTTCTGTTAGCCATCATTTAGGAACTGGACTGCCTAGGCTCATATTCAAAGCTCCTCCACTTCTGAGCTTTGTGGCTTGGGGCAGGTCACTTAACCTCTCTGTGCTTAGCTTTACTTTACCATCTGCAGAAGGGGAAGCTAATGTTGTCATGAGATTTCAGTGAGCTAAATCTGACTGATGGATAAGAATAGTGTCTGACATGTAGGAAACTCTCAAATATCAGCAGCAGCTGCTGTTATTTTATACATCATGCTAACAGACTGTTGGTGGCAGCTTTTTCTCAGTTGAATGTAGGGATTGCTGGCTTTTCATAGCTCAGAGTCTCAGAAAGCATCCATGATTGACTACAGGTGTAGTCTCATTAAGGAAATTGCAGTTGGGTCATGGCATGAGTGCCCTCTAAAACGTATTGTTGACTCCGTGTGAGTAGGAAGCACTTTATAGTAGAGGCAATTGCCTTTGAGAAAACACAGTTCATCCATCTTCATCCCATCAGCAGATGTTGAACAGGTAAGTCAGGTGTTGTACAAATGCTGGGGGATGAAAAGCCACAGCCTTCATCATCAAGGACCCATAGCCAGTGGGGAGACAGACATGTGGGCCAACAGTCATAGTGTCACAAGATTAAAAAGTTAAAAGAAGGTCAGTCAAAATACAGTGGGAACACAGTGGCAGGAGCCCCTGAGTCTGGGCCTATGAGGAGAGGTGAAGGTAGTAAGGAGCGTTTGAGGGGAGACCAAGCTCAGAGTCATGACTGGCTAGGCAGCAGTCGGGCAGGAGCAAGAAGTAAGAAGCAGCCCTGCCCTCTGGCCATCAGTCTTTCCCAGCAAAAGAGAGAGGACAGTTTCTTAAAGATGGTCACTTTGTGTATTGAGGCCCAGGTAAGTGTGTGTACAGGGCAGCATGGGGCCACAGCTCAAGTATATGGGCCTGGATCCCCAGAGTCCTGCCGGCCTAGTACTTCCTGCCTCAACAGGTACCTGTACCTCCCACCACACCCCACATCACCTCCAGATTACAGCTTTTGTTTTTTCTTGTATTTATTGTTGAAACTCCAGTTTCAATTTTGTTTTGTTTTCTTCCACAGGCATCCAACATAGAAATTCATCTTCCAAACCCAAGATGCCTTGTAAAAATGCCATGAGAAGACCTCAAAAGCTGGCGGTTTTACAAGCTGCAACCAGTGAGGGCGACTAGAATAAAAAAGCCTATTTTAACACTGATATGAAAGACAGCAGACAAAAGAGCACAGGATCCTCAAGGTGAGTCACTCAGCTCCTCATTTATCCACATAGGAGAGTTATAACTGACATTCTGAGAATTCTAAGCAGTATTATTTCTTGAGCCCTTACTTCACACGTAGCAAACACTGTGAGGCACTCAATTTAACAGAAACACACTGATGGCCTCCAACATCCTTCTACGATTTCTTCACTGCTTTAGAGTTTTCATTGTAGCAGTCTTCGACAAGTCTCTGGTTAAGCTTATGCCTACTCAGTTTTTTCTTTTTGAGGCTATGGTGAATGGGATTGTTTTCCTGACTTCTTTTTCAAACAAGTGCATTGTTGGTGTATAGAAAAGCTACGATTTTTACATCTTGCTTCCTTGGTGAAATTCCAGATCAGATCTCAGAGTCTAGAGGCTTAGGATCTTTTAAGTATAGGATCATCAGCAAACAAGGATAGTTTGACTTCTTCCTTTCCTATTGAAGGACTAAAGGACGGACTGCAGGAGGTCCCATAAGGTGATAAGTGATGAAGGAGAACATCTCTCCTTCCCAGGAAATCTCTGTCTGCACCTGAGAGACATCTCTGGACCCAGGCAATGCAAAAAAAGGCTATAAAACCCAATCCCCAACCTGACCCATGGGATCACTGGTTTCCGGGTTCCCCTGCATTCTCCAATATGCAGTCTTTCTCTTCTCTTCTCTACAAATAAAATCTTCCTGACCTCTGCTGTTGGAGTCCACCTGTGCTTTCTTCCTCAGAGCGGGCTCAAGAACCCTGAGCACCTGAAATTCCTGCATGTGTTATCCGTGCATCACTATTTGTATTCCTTTTCTTTCTTTCCCTTTCCTTATCACTCTGGTGAAGAACTCAAACACTACATTGAAGGAAGAGTGGTGCTTGTGGCCAGCCTCAATTGCTCCTGGTTTTTCAGGAAATGCTCTGTTGTTCTGCATTTTGTGTAATATTGGCTCTAGGCCTGTCATCTGTATCCCACATTGTGCTTGGGTATGACCCTTCTATTACTAGTTTCTTCAGGTATTGTTACCATGAGAGGATGCTGGATTTTATTAGAGGCTTTTTCTATATCTGTGCAGGTGATTGCATGATTCTTGTCCTTGCTTCTGTTAGTATGCTGCATTGCATTTATCGATTTGTATATGTTGAACTATCCTTCAGTCGTGCAGCGAAGTCAGTTTACACATAATGTATGATATTTTCAATCTGCTGTTGAATTCAGTTTGAAAGTATTTTATGAAAGATTTTTGCATTGAAAATGAGGCACAGGCTAATGACATCGAAAACATATTCAATAAAATAATGGCAGTAATTTTCCCAAATCTTGGGAAAGATTCTCTGGAGGCTCCCTGAATTTCAATTGTTCCTTGTTTTCTGCTTGCCACAATAGTTCAGTCTCAAATAGTAGATAGTCTCTCAAGATGGCGAATGGCTATTCATTTTGGAGTAATTAGAATTCTAACCACATTATCTCTTTCCAGATCACATACAAAAAGAATACCCCAAACTGGAAAAGCTGCTCTCAGATCCACCATGAGCGTCAACACAAATCAGGAGTGGATGTGTGGCCAGGTAATTGACATTAGTCACAACACTGAAACACCTGCCACAAAGTCCACCCCTGATACATACAAACACAATGTGAACGATTCCATGGCATCTTGCTAAAGTACTCAGGCACCTTTAGACCATAAGATAAGGCACAAACATTTTCCAGCCCGTTTGGGTATGGCCTCATTCCATCATCACAGTATACAGTCTTTGGAGAAGAGGAAGAAGACCGTGGTGAGTCTACAAAACTGATGTAGAGGGCTCTTCCATTAAGTTAGTTTAGGGAGAATAGTTAACTCGAGTCTAATTTTTATGTCCCACATTTCCTGCCAGATATAAAAAATAAGTCCTTTTCAAAATCCAGATTCCTCTGAGCTCCTTGTCCTCTGGTGGCCTGACAAACACGTAGATGTTCCTTATGGGCAGAAGGTTACGGAGATCTTTGGAATTTGTCCTTTATTCTGTGTTTCCAAAACCATAAGACCATTGTTTTTCTCTCCTTAAGAAGCTCTCTTTTCACTTAAGTGAAGCATCGTGGGGTCCTTTTGGAGTTGAGGAAGTCAGGGGCATTTATGAGAGCACCAGGCGTCACCAAGTCTGGAGGGCTGCCAGAGGTCTAGGACCCACCCCAATGGGAGGCCAGAACCAAGTTGCCAGAGACCACCAGCATCTCTATTAATCTTTCTTTTCTTATACCCCGATTAGACATACAAGCCTCGTGGGACCAGGGAGATTGATCATCTTCTGCTGGATAAAACCCCCACGCCAAAGACTCAGAATTTTCTGCCTCATACTTGAACCTAGAAAGAACATGGCTGTCAAAAAACAAAAGAAACAAAGAAGACATCCAAAGGTCACCTTGACAACTACTTCAAAAGTTGTTCATATCATCTTGTTTGAATAAAGAGGTTTCTGTTTTCCTTGAAAAAAATCACCATTGTCTCTCTTGTGTGTGTGTAGGAGTGAGTGAATCGGAGTGAGTGAATCGAGGGTGCTTTCGTTAAGTGGTGACAATCCTGTTTCCTAAAGAATCCTTTTGCAGGAATTATCTTCTCTCAGTATATATTGGAAATCCTACAAATAATGTTTATTCTGTTTAGCAATGACATCAACTTTGGCATTTGGAGTTGTGTGAACAATTCAGCTTGCTGAGAACAGCTATGTCAGATTGTTTGCAATATACAAACACTGAAGGCTGTATAATACAGTAAAGTTTTACCATGATAAGTGTATTTTTAATCTTGCCATGGTCAGTGTATAGCATTGATACTTCAAATGCTGGGGGTCCTAGAATCCGTAACCTTAGAACAGTCGGCATCTTTTACACTCATCAGTGTTTCCTTTTGAAGTACATATTGTTGTTTACCTGAACCATAGATGCCTTTTTTGTGTACATAAAACAGTACTTGGCTGTTGTTGCGGGATACATTTAATTGCTCTGAATGTCAAATGTTTACCTTTTTCTGCTTGTACTCCCCAAACCTGTCCTTCAGTATACACTCAGGCTTGGAGCATATAACCTAAACGTGGTTGTCTTTCTGTAGGCACTGGCTGCAGTTGAGGACAGGAGCAGTGCACACAGCTGTACACACATGTACGTATGTACACACGTATATCTGCACACACATGTACATGTGTACACACACATACCTATCTATGTACACACATGCAAAGGATACAACACGCCATGAAACTTGAATGTGTGACTGAGAGGTGTAAAGGACTCTACTTGCCTAAGTCATGGGCCTCACCCAGTGAGCCCTGTGATTGGTCACACTGTTCTATAGGTGACAAACAAAGAAATAGTGTTTTAAGAACAAGACAAAAAACCCTTGAATGCACATTCGTTGTCCTAATGCCAGTGAGCTTTCAGTGTTGAACCACAAATAGTTTAAAGCAGGCCAGTGTTCTTTTTGCTCACTGCTCTTGGATTAGTAAAAGGAGAGAATTATTCTTTGTGATTCCTGATCCTTTGCTCGTCAGAATCTGTATCCTTGTTATCGAGTAGGGTGGGATGTGTCAGGTTTTAAATTATTTTTATATATTAGCCATTTCCTAAAGAAGTCAGAGACAATCACCCTAAAATGAGTTTTTTCTCTCTTCCATTTTATGATGATGATGATGGTGAGTATGATTATTTATCATTTGATTATTCTACTGGGGGTACACTGTGACATTTACAAACGTTTCTACAATATATCAAAGTTGAATTCACTCCTCTGTCATTCTCCTTTATCTCCTCTCCTCCCATTCCTGGAAGAGTTTCAACAGGTCTCATTTTTCCATTTTCACACATGAGTACATGATATATCCACCATATACACCCTCCTACTCCTTTCCTTATATCCTCCCCCCCACAGGCACTGTTACCAACCCCCAGATGGGACCTGTTTTATCTTCCTGTTCTCCATTTTTAAAAAAGGACATTTCTGTTTGTTTAAGATGGCTATATGGGGAGTTCCACTGCAACATTTCCATGTAAAATGGATTTCTGGTATTATTCTGCACAAATGCCATGTGTTGAAATGCCCTGTGATAGCTCCCTGTAAATGTGTGCTCTATGAAATAAACTGCATGTTTTGCTTTCATTGTAATAGTAAAACCTGCACTAGTGGTGGTGTAAAGGTGGCACCAATTGTTAACCAGGCAGTGAACACAGGCAACCAGCAAGTTCAATAAATACTGATCAGATCCAGTGATTTCCCTCTTCATCTGGTTATCCATCAGGCAGAATTCCACTTTTAGGACAAGCAGGTGTGAGTTTTCAAACTTTGGTCTTCTGGCAGCTATTTGAATGCAAACCAGAGTGATCTTGATCTACCGGGCTCAAGCAGTACTTCCTCTGAGCTAGTAGCTCTTCCTTGCCAAGTCTGGCACCAGATGCTGTTGATCCATCTGTTGGAACTGTGGACGTGGGTGTTCTGTTCACAACTCCAAGGTGATGGACATGCTCACACACACACACACACACACCCCTTCACATTTCCTTCCTCTCTGACAGTGTCCTCTCTCCTGAGGGGACAGATCCCTGTCTACTACCAGCAGATTCTGCAAGTCAGCTCATTTCCTACACCTGTGTCATCACGGGCACTGCATGGGCATGAAGCCGTTATCAGTTTTACTATTCAGAAACCCAGTGGTACAGTGTGGAGTCCTGTAAAATATGTGACACAGGACTCTGCAGACCTGAATCCAGCCAAGAGGGCCATTGGCCCACCATGTGTGTAACTGACTTGTTGCCTCCCGTCTGAGCCCTGTTCCTATATTCAGGAAGCAGAGACAGTCTCTGTGGGCCTTTTCAGTTCTGTGACTCCACCATTCCCAAAGGCCACTCACAGTGACCACAGCCAGGGCTTCAGGAGACAAAAAACTCCAGCTACTGCCAAGGAGCTGGAATGTGGAGGCAAACTGTCGCATTTACCCACGGGGTCATGTCTGTGTGTCATTTTCAGTGTTCCTTAGGCCTGGGTCCATTTGGTTGACACAGGCCCCAGGTTTCCCCAGCAGTCTAGTCCCAGTATTTCCCGATGGGTTCTAGCCACTCTCTGCTATCTCTCCTAACTGTGCAGTGATTGTCGTTGCACAGTCATATCTTCTGCCAGGTGCCATAGAGGAAGCATTTGAAGTCTTCACAACAACCCTATGAGGCATGGGTGTGTGTTCATTTTTACCTACAGGGACACTGATTTGTGGACACTTGCATTTATTTTGGGTCACAGGACTACAAAGTGGCAGAGCTAGTATTCAAACCCATCTGTCTGACAGCTCAGCCCTCCACACTGAACAAAACAATCTCGTGGCTTGCAGAACAGGTCAGACACCAGAGCGGTGTCTTCGGTGCTGGGGACAAAATTGTTGCTAACATTGATTGAGCACTTTTACTGGATGCCAGACACCCTGGCATAATATCTCCTTTATTATGAAGGAGATAATGCTTCTCTGCTGATATGGCAACTAGAAATGATATGGCCCCATACATTTTCTCATTGTGGTGTGTCCATTTCTATGACAACCCAAGTGTCATAATTGATACCCTAGAGGTGTCCTCAGGGTATGCCTTGTCACTTATTAGCTGTGTTACCTCAAGCAAGCACCTTAACCTCTCTGAACTTCCATTTTCTCCCCAGGAAAATTGGAATAGACCTAGCACTGGCTGTGAGGATTAGACTCAATGCAAAGGAGGGCGTTTCTGAAGATGCTTAAGTGTTAAGATCAGGATCATGTGGCAACCAATGGTAGAGCCAGATGCCTGATGGGCCTCAGTTTCCTGGGTGAGGAGGTAGTGCAGGTAATCTGTTGGCAATTGTAGATGGTGGCTTTTCCTTAGAGCTCAGGCCACCAGCTCTAGTTTTCCAGGCCAACTGTGACAGAAGCACAGAGTGGTAACAGAGCTGGGTGGGAAAAGAATGTGATAGGAGCAGAGTCTAGGGAAGATACAGGGTGAGAGTAGGAAGGGGCTGAGAGAGGAATACAGAGATCATCAGATGGGAGGCCAAAGAACTAGCGCAGTGGAGTGAGTTGGAGCTCCCCAAAAGGAAAGGAGTGCTGGGCAGGATGATGCCCAGGGCCTGGCCAAGGGAAGCACACAAAGGTGGAGAATGCTGGTAGGCTGTGGTGATGGGGCCCCCAAAACCTGGATACACTCCCATTATTGGTTTGTGTTTCAGAAGCTAATCCCTTAGAGAAACACACACAAGGGGATGTTTCACGGTTTTCAAAAGGTTCATGGTCATGGGAGGCCCTGGCTTTGAGCCCTAGCATAAAAAACTAAAAGCAGCTCATGGTTTCTCACTGACAGATTTCAGTTCTCTTCACAAATGACAAATGGTGAATGCTTGCCAGTAAATGGATGGAACTGGAGAACACCATTCTGAGTGAGGTTAGCCTGGCCCAGAAGACCAAAAATCATAAGTTCTCCCTCATATGTGGACATTAGATCAAGGGCAAACACAACAATGGGATTGGACTTTGATCACATGATAAAAGTGAGGGCACACAAGGGAGAGGTGAGGATAGGTAAGACACCTAAAAAATTAGCTAGCATTTGTTGCCCTTAACGCAGAGAAACTAAAGCAGATACCTTAAAAGCAACTGAGGCCAATAGGAAAAGGGGACCAGGAACTAGAGAAAAGGTTAAATCAAAAAGAATTAACCCAGAAGGTAACACACATGTACAGGAAATTAATGTGAGTCAACTTCCTGTACAGCTATCCTTATCTCAACTAGCAAAAACCCTTGTTCCTTCCTATTATTGCTTATACTCTCTCTTCAACAAAATTAGAGATAAGGGCAAAATAGTTTCTTCCGGGTAGCGAGGGGGCAGGGGAGGGAAGGGAGAGGAAGGGGGGAAGAGGGGAGAAATGACCCAAACATTGTATGCACATATAAATAAAACAAACAAACAAAAAAAACAAATGGTGAATGCTAGTACTCAAGGGGGCTTCCTGCTAGGCAAGAGGCCCATCAAAAGCTAACACCCTCCCTCCAACTCCACCTTTAACTGCCATGTAGCTTGATGAGGCACTCTCAAGATCTGCAGACCCTTCCACAGGAGAAAGCACAGCAGCCACCTATTGCTCTGGACCTCTAGGCCATCCTGAAATGACCACAAGAGCAGGTGACCAGATTACACAGGCATGTGGGATCTGGAAGCTGCAGCAGCTGAGGGCTGCATGCCTGGCCAGCCCCTCCCTCTGCCCACACCTCCCTCCTCCTCACTAACTGGAGATATGGGCCCAAAGCATGAAGGAGAATGTGAGGGTCTCTAAGGCAGAAATGGAGTCAGCCATGGTTGAGGATGCAGCGGTGCTTAACGTGGATTCTGGGCTCCAGAGGGCACAAGACGAAGGATGCTATGAAGAAGCTCCCAGCTGAATAGGGACCATGATTCCTTCTCAGCGACATGACTTGTGGGATTCTATACCCACTTGCACCATATTGGCCAAATAAAATCAATCCATCCCCCCTTTTTTTTTGGCAGAACTGGGGTTTGAACTCAGGGCCCCACATTTACTAGGTAGCTGCTCTTACTGCTTGAACCCTCCAGTAGCTCAATCTATCCTTTTTAAAGGATGTGCAAATATGGGGAAAATATCTGGGGTCAGAGTGGTCTCTGGGTTTTTTTTAACTGGATCAAAATGGTGCTATAGATTAGTTTGCTTATAATCCCTACATCCTGTGTGACTGCACTCAACTGAATATATCCTTGAAGTCGGGAAAAGGGTCCTGCAGGTTGTGAGTTAGTTTCACGTGGTGGCGCTTCCTCTGTGCAGAAAGATAAGACAAGAGGCAAGTTCTTTCTATGCTGTTTTATTTCTGTAAGGATACACTGAAACGTTAGATGATTAACAGCTAATGACAAAATGCAGAAATGAGGCATTGGCGTCTACAACCACTCCTACAAGAATGTGAATATGTTTTGTCATTACATGTTTACTTCTGATATTGTCTCATTATATATGTAATATAGTAATGGAGAATGCAGTAAGTAAGTGATCCTGCATTTCAGGGAAGCAGGAGGTGGAAAACCAGGTTCGCCCGTGAGGCCAGTGGCCTCCCCATTCCCTAGAGATCCAGCTAAGCTCTTGAGGAAAAGTCCTAGGAATCACAAGAGGAGACTTTGTGGTCCTCTTGAACACATGAACAAACAGTAGACAGCTACTATGTTACAAGGGATTCAACTTGTCACGGTTTTGTAATGTCATATTCACGGTGATGACAGCCTGGTGCCTGCTTAGCTACCCCCCTAGAGTTTTACAGTCACTTCTACAGGATGAATCTCAAAACTGCAAGAACATCTGAGGGGGCTCCAATATTGTCATGCAAGTTTCCAAACCCATAAACTATTTTACTATTAATTAAAACAAAAAATCATTAATTAAAAAAAAATCAAAAGGACAGGAGAATTAGTTTTGTTAGGCTTCCAAAAATATTCACTGTGAAGATGTTGCTCTGAAACAGGCTTGTTTTTTCAGGTCTGTTTACACTTTCCAAATCGCCTGTATGTTCCATGATTTAAAGCAGGAACGCTCAGAAAACATGCCACAGGAGGGACTCAAATGTTAGTAAGGGGAAGAGGTCAGTTGAGAATTACAACTAAGTTCAAATGTTAATTTTCTGGAAATTCATGTTAGTCACGTGAAAGCACAAAAGAATAGAAGGAAGGTCAGAGTTTTGAGGGGGAAGTTAAACCATGCATTCCAGCAAGTTCTTTTTCAGCTCACAGAAGAGGGTGAGCAGCGAGTTGGAGCAGCCGCTGCAACTCTGGCATGTCCTGTGACTGCACTGTGGGTCCCAGCTGAGCCCTGAAAGGTATCTCAGTGGGGGGGCTTTAATGCTTATGCTTCTTGCTTACATCACAAAGTGGCTGAATGGTTAGCACTTTTCTGCTCTATGATAAACATGCAGAAGAGTCAAATCTATCTAAGTTTTTGTTTTCTCATTGCAGCTATAGAGAAATTAACTTTGCTGCAAGGTTGTGTTTTGCTAAATCCTAATATGATCACTGTGTGCCCTTATTTGAATAATATTGCAAAATGGGAGAAAGGACAGAAGATGCAACTTTAAAGAGGTGAAAGAACACGCTTCCCTTATTGATGGTGTAGGGCAGGGAGAGCAAGGACACAAAGAACATGATTCAAATTCCATTTTCAGGACAGAAGCCCCTGTCAATTTACAGCTTTTTGGCACAGTCGGGGCAATACACCTGCTCCTCGTGAAAAACAAAGCGCTTGTTGGCCAGATTCATGGAGCATTTTTTGCAGTGGAAGCAGTAGTCGTGCCAGGATTGTCCTTCATAGGCCACCACACTGGAGCCTTTACCAAACCCTGTGGAAAAACAAAAAGAAATGAGAGAGACAGCTGAATGAATACAGATGAGGAAGCCGGGATTCAGAGGTAAAATGACGACTTGCCCGTTCACAGAGCCAGGGCTGACAAGCACACAGAGTCAGTGTCTGCCTGGCTCCCAGCATCCCCCTCCCCTCATTCCACCGCGCATTGTCCCCCACGCCGCCATTGTCCCCCATGCCGCCGCAACCCTGCTATGGCTCTCAAGGACCTAAGAAGATGCCGGAGCTCAGCCAAGGGCTTCCCTAATTTACAGTACCCACGGTCCCACGCCACTGCTATCGCCCTGTGACGCGCACCGACCTCCCAGCATAACCAGTTTCTTTGATTTAGGTCAGGGCCATGGCATCAAAGTGGCCACCAGGAGGCAAACTTGGACTGTTTGTGGGGTGTGCACTTACCGGGCCTCGAGGAGCTGCTAAGCTTCGATTTTTTCTATAAAGAACCACCACCCACGAGGGACAAGTCCTCTCTCCACCCGGATGCCTGCCCCGGAGGTTGGCGCTGGGAAACAGGGTGAGAGGCAAGCGTTTCCCGTGGCACACTGGGGGCTTCCTAGCTTTAGAGACTGGGTGGCTCACTCTTGACACAGTCCTTTTCCCTGAGGATGGCAAAAGTCTTCTCAAATGTACATTTCAAGGCTCCCCGGGGAGATGGGAAAATTGGAGGTGGGGGAAAGGGCCCGGGGCACGTGGATCGCGGCCGCGAGATGAGGAATGAAGTGATTAGCTTTGCTTCTCATCGCAAAACAATTAAAAATAAACAAGAACAAAACCACTGCCGGCAGGCACGTCTGCACCAGCCTTCAGCTCTGGGGTGTTACAATGCCAGGCTACACTTTTCCACCTCCCTAGCCCACCCCTCCTCCCTCCTTCCTGCCCCTCCCCCTTCCCCCAACCCTCCAGAGTCCCCCTGTGCAGTGCCTGCCTATGTGCAGGGCCCATGGCCCGGGTCTCAGGCCTATGAACTCCTGGCTTTGTTAGTCAGCAGTAGTCAGGAAGTGTTCTGCATTGCAAAGGCTAACCTGGCTTGTGGAGAATCCAAACTACTGGGGGCCTTTGGACTACAATAGCAGGGGCAGAAGGGCATTCTTTGGGGGCCTTTGTGGATGAAACCGACGACACAGGAAAATGAGAGATGGTTACCATGCGCAAAACCTAGCTAGCCTGGCAGACTTAGCAAGGACTCTTTAGCCTACCAGTGATGGGGTTCTTGCATCCAGCACACTTCTTGGCCACAAAGTTCTTGTAGCAATCCACGCAGTAATACTGGTCCTCCACAGCGGTGAAACGCTGCCCAGCCAGCTTCTTAGAGCAGGTAACACACACAAAGCACTCGGCATGCCAGGGCTGATCCTGGTAAGTGATTCCTCCAGATGTGATGGCCTAGACCAGGGAGTGCAGCACCGGATTCAGATTCAACAACCATTTTGTTGAATGCCTACCCTGCCAGGCACTGTGCTGGGCGCTCTGGTATACAATATCTCATTTTATCTCCACAACAGCCATGGGAGGCAGGTACTATTATGATTCCCAGTTTACAGATGAAGATACCAAGGCTTGGAGAAGGCAAAGTTACATAGACACTAAGTAGCAGAAGCCAGGTCTCCAGAGCCAGGGCTGCCTGGCTTAGATGCACTGCTAGCTGCCTGGGCCACCAGAGTGAGTGTGTACACTGACAATGTGAAGTGGTCATGGCACTGCTTTCTGATCCCTGTCTCCTCATCTGTAAAACAGGCACAATAATTCCTACGTCACAGGGCTGTCATGAGGATGTAATGGGATAGTGTGTGTGCAAGTGCTCTGCAAACTGTCAAACACATCTAGAAACAATGGTCAACACAGAACTCCCTTGACCACATACCTTGTTGCACTTCACGCAATGCTTGGCAAACTTGGTCTCATGGCAAGTCACACAGTAGAAGTCCTCCCCTTTTGGGAAGAAGCTTCCAGTTCCAATGACTTGCTTGCAGTTGCTGCAGGTGAAGCAATCTTTGTGCCAGACAGTGCCCTTGTACTCCACGTTCTGGTCTCCTGCAGGGGGAAGAGGTTGGATAGCCCCACTGACAGGCTCTGCAGGGGGCTGCATCCACTCAGCTCCCCAGGGCCCCCAGAGGTGAGGGATGCAGACCCTGCAGTTGCTGGCCTCACGCCTCAACTAACCTACCCGTGCACTACTTGCGGCCGTGTCAACCCAGGGCTGTGTTGTGGGCAGGGACCCCAATAGTGTAATTTTAGGATAAGATGCCTGGCTCCCCACTCCCCCACCTCTACCCCTGGTGGACGGAAGAGACTGAGGAGGAAGCATGCTTTGATCACTTACTACACCCAAATGAGAAAGCGCTACATACTTTTCACTTCATTCTCTTGCCACAGGCTGTTCTCGGCAGTGTTCTTTAGTCTCCGAGTGTGTGCGTGTGTGCGAGCATATATGTGTACGCATATATACGTGTATGTATATGTGTACATATATATGCTAAAATCTCAAAGCAGCTCACAGCAGCGTTAGCCCCACCACAACAAGCAAGCCCACATCATGTCTGCCCTCAGGGCCTCCTCCCTGGCAGCCCGAGGTGGGAAGGGGACAGTACCTGCCACAATGGCCTTGAAGCACCCTTTGCACTTGGGGGAGTCCTCCCGAGTAGCGCACTTGTTGCACAGGATCTTGTTGTCCTTGGACACAAATGTCTCGTTGGCCAAGGGGTGAAAGCACTTGGCACAGCGGAAGCAAGTGTCATGCCAGTAGCGGTTCTTGTAGTGCACCTCCTGGAAACCGAGCAGAGCAGGGTGGGCTGCAATGAGGGGCACTGGAGGTAGCTGCTGCAGCCCTCCCATCAAGGCCAGTTTCTGCAGGGCCCACTGACTACAGAGTTGGCACAGTCCCTTACATGTGGGGCTGTCCTGAGGTGACGATTCTTTTGAGTAACAGGAAGGACACTGAAATGCAGATGAAAAAACTCAATTCCTGAAATACTTAAGAGAGTATAGGTTGAGCAAGCCTAATCCCAAAATCTGAAATGCAGATGAAAAAACTCAATTCCTGAAATACTTAAGAGAGTATAGGTTGAGCAAGCCTAATCCCAAAATCTGAAATCCAAAGTGCTACAAAATCTGAATGTTTTTGAGGGCCAACCTGACTCCACAAGTGGAAAATTCTATACCTGGCCTCATTTGCCAGATAGCAGTCAAAACCCAGGTGTACAACAAATAGTTCATTCAGTGTCCTTAAAGAAAGCAAGATCTTCCCAGCCCCTTCAGCTGCAACGCACAAACTTTGTTTCAATACTTATTAAAAGTATCGTAGAAAATTACCTTCGGCTATGTATATAGGAGGTTTGTGAAATATAACGAATTTAGCATTTAGACTTGGGTCCCATCACCAACATACCTCATTATGTACATGCAAATATTCCAAAATTTAAAAAAAAATCAAAGCCAGATGTGGTGGTGCTTCCCTGTAATCCTAGCTACTTGGGAGGCAGAGGCAGAAGGATCATGAGTTCAAGACCAGCCTAGGTAAAGTTAGCAAGACCCTATCTCAAAAACAAAATACAAATAAAAGGGTGGGGTATGTATCAAATGATAGAACACTTTGTGTCGTGGGGACCCGGGATTCAATACCCAGTATGGCAGAAACATAAAATCAAAATCTGAAACACTCCTGCTCCCAAACATTTCAGATAACAGACACTCAATCCGTACAACCAAAAGAGCTGGCAAGGGCCTCAGTGTTCAACAAGCCCAAGGCCTATTTAACAGCTTGGACAACAGAATTATCCTTGAGGACCACAAGGCATCAAAGTGGCGGCTATGATGAGCAGAACCCAAAAAGGCAGCAGTTGCTGTCAGGGCCACAGGAAAAAGCCACTCAGAAGCCCAGCCTGTCCTGTTCACACATGGGCATAACAACCATTACCTTGGAATCTGCGCCAATGGGCTTGCGGCATTCCACACAGGTGTTGGCGCAGAACTTGTCAAAGCACTTCAGGCAGCAGTGGTGGCCATCCTTCTGCACGTACTTCTTCCCCTGCAAGGGGTCCCTGCAGTAGTGGCAGTCGAACTTCTCAGCCATGGTGCCCACCTTATAGCTGGAGGGACCTGCAGGGCAAGCAGTCAGAACAAATGACCAACAGAAACACCAGGGCGTTCTGCTTCAGAGGGACTTCGAAGTACCTGGGTACTACTGCACATAGCCAGGAAGACCCTCGGAGTCCCCTGGGTCTGTGGAGCAAGACCCAATTTCCCCCTGAGCCTGGCTAGCCACCAGGCACCAAGGCAACTGATAACTCACTATGGCTCCCAGGAAGTGCCAGAGCCCCAGGGCTGGTAACTCCCTGGGGAGATGGCAAAAATCCCTGCTTGGATGGACTACTGTGCTGACTCAAAATGGACACTGAGGGGGACAACAGGATCAGGGCTGATATTGGCCAGAGTTATTGCACAGGGATTCTGGGAGGTGCCCTCATTGTGAGCAGTGACCTGAAGGAGTAGAGGGGTGCATGGAGCAAGCAAGAAAGAGGAAATTGTTTTACGTGTAGACAGATGGTTCGGCAGAAGGCATGCCATGCAAACCCAACACTGCTCTGTGCACTGGCCTCCTGGCTAGCACACAAAGCCCAGAGGAACCAACAGGGGCCGGGCCCTTTGCTCTGAGGGCTGCCCATCACATTGCCAGCCAGAAGTCTCCTGGCAGCTTTTGCCTCTTCTGCTGTCACCTTATAGGGGAAAAGAGTATTCTCAGAAGGCCCCACTTCCCTAGTACTGCTACAATTCGATTCACTGGGACAAAAACTTGTCAGGTAACTCTGTACCAATCTAGACACACAAACAATCCTCATTAGTTTAAAATGTTCTGATTTACTTGAAATCCAGCAGAAATATTTTTAGCCCCTGAATAGATTACAAAGAGTTTTGCCCCAGATAGTTCACTGACTTTTGAGGCCTGAGCCATTGGGCCACTGAGAATTTATCAGCTGGCACCAGCAAATTTTGCAACTGTGAATCATTTGTCACAGTGATGTGCATGATTAAAATCAAATCTCTCAGGTCGAGCAAGTAAGGACTGGTATGCTCACTGAAGTGTTACCATTTGGGACGTTTGCTATTTTAAACATTGCAAGTTTAAAGTATAATCTGGAAAAACAACTTTTACAAAGACTCTCCACACCCTCCCTAACCCACCCCAACCTGTGGCTGCGGCCTCAGACAACAGGCCTGTGCAATCCCAAGCACTGCTAAGGCACTCTGCCACCAGAAATGTATCAAAAGTAAGTTCTACTAGCTCTCACATATGCTAATATTTCCTCTCCCACTGAAAAGGAAATTTACATGACTAAATAGACAGCAATTATTTAACTTGCATAGGAAACACAAGAACTGAGACTATCTGAACTCTATCTACACGCATGGCTGTCACACTAGCAAATGTCCACAGTGTAATTTAGAAAGAAAGAATGAGGGAAACAAATGAGCAGTTGCCTGCTACTCACCGCAGCTCTTTCACCAACTGAACAGTCTCAAACTCCCACTTTGGGTTCCATTCCCAGTTTTTTTTTATATAACCACATGTCCAAGTTGTTTGGATCCTGTTGCCACAGGCAACCAAATAGCAGAGAGTGAGCTAAGGAAACCACACCCTGTGTCTGGGAATCCGCCTGGGCCAGGGCTGGTGAACTCTCACTCAGACCCGTGTCTGTGTAGCCAGCCTCTAAACAAGGGAAACTGGGCCACAGAACACACACAATGCCTGCTGCCTCACACTGACACCACCCAGACCCCCCTCTGGAGAGCTGGCACAGGAAGTAAATGAGTGACATTCTATGCAAAGACAGTTGCTTGGCACCTAGTTGTGCCACTGTCTAAAGACTAAAGACTCAAGAACAGAAAGGTTCTTACTTGTGCTTTTCTCTAAAAAGAACACCAGGATGTTTCCTTATGTGAGTGGGTTGGAAACAACAGTCACACAGAATGAATCCAGGGCTCATCTCCTGGAACCATGCACTATTTGTATGAGACAGCTGTTCAACTGCCATGGCCTTCAGGCCTACAGGTAAAAGTACTTGTGGCCCCGACAGCCTGTGGAAAATCACTCTTCTTCACTCATTCTCACTGGTCTTTCCCACATCACATGAGATCCTTCCTTTGTCATACTGAAAATGTGCTCTCAAAAAAGACTAGTTTTCTTGTTAAGAGCTGAGTTGAGTAAGAGTAAATGCCATTTGGCAGAAAAACAGAATTTGTGAAATTGAACAGCAGGGGCTTCTTGCAAGGCTAGCAACCATAACTGGGTCAGCTCTTCAGAGACTATATTCTTGGACCATATTTGAAAATCCCTCTTCCTCTACTTAGAATACAATTTTGAACCTACTCATTTTTATTGAAATAGATTCCAAATACTTCTATATTGAAGTACCATACAGAGTCCACCTAAGAGATGTCCCACTTTTTGGTGTTGTTCAGGCCTAGCTTCATGGTTAAAATGTGGGTATTAGTATCATACAAAAGAAGACATACTAGAAATCACAAAAATTCCATTTAGAGGTATGTAGGTTTTTGAAGAGACAGAAAACTGCACTGTAGTTCACAGTAGCAGAGATCTTACCCGCAAAGCCTTTTTCACTTTAAAAGCAGATACTTTTCAGAACTGTTATATTACCACTGCGAGGCTCTCCACTGCTTACTTTCAGTTTTAGATCGTGACTAGCTTAGTTTCCACGCATGCAGATGATGAAATAGTTCACGGGTTACCAGTGAACGTGAAAGTACCGCAGGGAAAGTGGAAGTGTGTTGAAAGTATTACTCAACGAAGCTGCACACCACCGCATTATTCCTATAATGTGGGGTCTGGAGCCAAACAAAAGGAGCATTCAATGAGCCTATTTCAGGTTAATGATATCACTGAGAAGGGCCTATGCCTTGGTACTTTGGGGTCCTAGCTTTAGGCAATGTTCTTTTTCTGCCCTGCAAATATGAGAATCCAGGGTCACCTCATATTCTCCACCGCTGTATCTTTAAGCCCAGACTTGATATCCAGATGGAGAAACAGATTTCAAAGAGTTTATTTTAGAAATGATTTTGACAGCTGACTTAAGTTGTTTTTATGTGTAGAAAAGCTTATTAGTCAAGATAAAATAGATACTTTTAAGGAATGCTGGCTTTACTGCCTACTAAGCAAACATGCTAGAAATACTTACAGTATGTTAACAATGTCTATGTCAAATTCATGAACTGTAGTAGTTTTTTGCAGGATATCTAATTAAGGACAACTTTAAACTATCTGAATTAGCTCACCTAGTATTTTTATAACTTATGATTATTTGGTACAAAACTATTTCAAACCATCACACTGCATGCTTTAGGATAAAGTTGGAGTAATATATTCCTACTGGTGAGATAGTTACTAGTCCAAAACTATACAAAATATGGGTGATGTGTAAGACCAAATTATTTGCTAATATTTATCTTCAAAAGGGGTTGGTTAACAACTCTAAGAACTCTGCTGATAAGTAACAATGCTGACAAAGAAGTTCCTAAAGCAGGCTGGGCATGGTAGTACATACTTGTAATCCCAGCAAACGGGAAGCTGAGGGAGGAGGACTGCAAGTTTGAGGCCAGCCTGGGGTACCATACCAAGACTCTGTCTTGAAACCTTAAAACAAACAAACAAACAAACAAACACAAACAAAAGAAGTCCCTAAAGGACAGCAATTATTCTGAGTAGTTAGACACTGCAGGAATCTGAACTACAGTTCCACTTTGGCTTCACAAGGGGAGAAAAGCTTGCACTTTTCCCTCTCAAGTCCTTCATTAGAAGAGAGAAAAATGAAGATGACATTTTACCTCTTTTTTTTAAATGGGGGGGTTGCTTTATTCTTAAGCCTTTATCTCTTAAGGAATATTTTTATCCCTTTAGCAATTTCTTAGCAATTTCACATGAAATGTGAAGCCTTTTTAATCTCCCAAACTTCCAGACATGTTTGCCTTGACCTACTCCTGTTAACTGAGAAAAGAGTACATCATCTATCATTAAATGAAATGTTTGCTGCATATAATTATACTACTACTGCCCTTACTGCCTGTCTTTGTGGAGGCTGTATGATTAATTTTAATGTCTCAGTGTGGTCTTCATCTGAATGTAATAGTAAGGTTTCTTTTTCACAGAAAATTGTACTGCTACACTAGGAGCCCTGGAAACCTAATCCAGGACCTGTGAACAGAAGTCACTCAGTGATCTTGCTAACTGACAGACAGAGATAAGTCACCAGTGCCAAGCTTCCAGTCTGTGGATGGTCACTCAACATGAATTCTGATACAATGATCTGAGCCTCCATTTTGTCTATCCAAAGCTCATTTCAAGGCAGCATTGATGCTTCTGTGGGGACTTCTCTCTCTTTTATGAACCTAGTCTTCTCTGCTTTCCTGGACCAAGGAATTAAACGCAATACAAAATGCTATGTCCTGATTTAAAAAATTATCTTTTGTGACCCTAAGGTGCTGAAATCTAACCTACACCTTAAAGTCATGTGAGTTGTCCCCTGATTTTCTAAGACAGAAATATTTTATATAAATGCATTTAATAAAAAGAATCTTAGAAGCTTAGTTACAATGCAGTTAGAAATGTGGTCAAATGTTAAGTATCTATTCCCGGATAGTAGCTGACTTTCTTTCTATGTCTGCTTCAAAAGACGTATCATTCTTCACTTAACAAACAGGTTTCCTCTTTCAGAAAAATTCCTGATCAACATTCAACATGCTAACAGGTGGCTACATAAACCTTAGTATCGCAACAAAAAGTTTTGGCTTTAAATTTAATCATGTACAAATTTGAGTAATATAATATTGTAACATTGGTGGGTTTTTTTATTTTACCGTAAACCTCTTAAAGAAGTTTCATTTTATATTGAAGAAAGTTGTTTGTGTTTTTATAAATATTTTTTCTTGTTAATACTGTTTTCCTTCAGACTCAAGTGGCTTAAAATAAGCATGTTTAAAGAGAAATAGCCTACTATGAGTAGGCAGCATTTTTCTAATTATATGACGTCTGAGTGCCATAACCTACAGAATAAGCAGTGAACAAACAGCAACCCAAACGGAAAAAAATTCAATTTATTTCTGTTAATTGCTAAGTCCTCCATACTGGTACAACAGTGACTCCACATATAAATGTCGGCTTCCAAAGAACAGGTATATTGCTTTCCTGAGAATGTTTAACAAGCAGAAGGAAGCTTCAGCAGATGAACAGGACACTTGTATCACTGCCATGCTAAGGCACACGGAGGTGTCCTCAGACATTTTGGAATAAACACCTAAACAGCTGCAATGAGACGGAGCTTATGAGTCACAGCTAAAAAGCAGTGTCTCATAGAATTACACAGAAAAATCAGCAAGTGTTTTTTCCCCTAAAAACAGAACATGTACACGATGATTCAATGTTATTAGCAACATCGCCGGAATGCTACATTTAGAAAAAAGCACAAATCCTTTTTGAGTCACTGACGTATAGCTAAAACCATTTTAGATTATGCTTCAATCAGAAGCACTGCATACAGATTATTAAATGAAAAATTATGTGCCATTGAACTTCCACCAGGCCCAAGTCTAACCTTATACCATTTTGTCCATATATGATGTTTTTCTTAATATTGCACATACTACGCACAGCATGTTCCATCTTTCATACAGAGAAAAGCACTTGTGACTGCCACAGTGGAACATGTGGTTTTAGTTTCTCCAGCTGTAGTGAAGTAGTAGGCAGTTATTTGCTGGCATTCAAAATACAAAATGTTCAGTTTCACCTTTAGGCAAATCCTGATTATCATTTTTCAGTTATTTTATGAAGCCAATCTATTTTGCTTACTCCTTTCTCACCACAAGTGAGAAAGGACTGGCAGATGTGTGTACCCTACTAGGCAGCAGCTAGTGGAGGGACTTCATGGGGAAAGAAAATGATAAATGATGTTAATTCCGCTAAAGTGTAAAAGAAATGAATTTACATAATTTTGCAAACAAAGTGTTTTTGTCCTTGAAATGTCTTCTCAGTGTGTGGGGATGACCACTCAAAATGCATTGTGATCCAATGATCTGAGCCTCTATTCTGTCCACCAGAAGCCCATTTTAGGACAACACTGATTTTCCTTCTGTGAGAACGTCTCTCTTTCATGGACCTAGTAATTCTTCTCTGCCTTTATGGACCAATAAACATAATGCAATAAAACATATTATTTATTTTCAAAAATTATCGAAAAGGTACAAATAATTGATGTAGTTAACCACAGTTATAGTCCTCACTTTCAGATAAGAATTAGGTAAAATTTGGTACAATTTCAAACTCAGTGTTGTATATGCCATAAATATGTCACCTTTTAAATATATTTTCCTATCCCTTCATTAGTAGATAAAATGGAGAGTACTCTACCAGCTAATATGTGCTCAAGGTCCATTAGGACAACTGGTACAGCTGACTAGTCTGCCTACACCCAGAGAATGTGTGTGTTGGCCGATAACCACAATCTCAAGCATGTGGTACCACGTTGGGAAAAAAGTTCCTGGAGGAGATGGGGAAAAAATAGCCAGACAGCTTTTGAACCCTTGGAAACAAAGAAGACACTAATTAGACACCAATTAAAGTATGGAATTGCATTGCAGCATATGTGCTTTAAAATACCATAAGAGAAATTTCCCAAAGTATTTCCATTGTTGAAATATCAACTGGCAATTATAAGTTGCAAAAATAAATTTTCCAAAAACAAAAACCTACCACTAATAATTATTTTGTCCCTTAACCTGAAAGCTGGGAGACAGGACAAAAAGTGCTTAGTTTCTGCCCAACTGTCTTACTTCATAAGCTCCAAGGAAGGGAACCGTTACTTGGGCACAGAGCAACAGAGCAACAGTCACATTACTGGCTTCAGGGAGAGATAGAGGCAGCAGGCTGACTTCAGAGAATTGGGCTTCCCTCTGATTTTGTAGCCACTTGTCCACAGTGTTCTTGTCTATGACCAAAGAGTTTCCTTAATGTCAGGTTAAAAAACAAGAGGAAGATTCTCACTCATGGCTTAGGATGATAGTCTAGGAGATCAGAAACTTTGGCTTTTTCCAATAAAAATAACTAATACCACATTTGTCATAGCAAAAGGATCTGTAGCTGTTTCGTCAGGAAGATTAAAAACATTTTTCTGGAAAAGGGAAGATGTGGTAAGTTATTATGGACTTTCTTCATTACGAATATTCCTCCTTCCTGCTCCATATTCAATTTATCTTTTCCAAATGCTTTAAATTAGATTTGAAATGCTGTCAAGATGAAGAGTTATATCTTATAAATGACCAAAATATCCTAATCAAACCCCCCTCTTTTCTCACACAATCTCTTATAGTTTCATAAGACATGCCAAAAAATGTAAAATATGTACTTTGTAAAAAAAAAAAAAAGAAGTGCCTCAAACTGCTAATTTTACTTAAGTACAAATAATCTTTTGTCTTTTAAACAACATGAGAAGGCAGGGAAAACACAGAGGCAAACTATGATTTATTTACCATTTAGACAATCTAAATGTCTACGTTCATTTAATAAAAATTGTCTTTTAGCCAAATGGACAGATTCATTGTCCTAACAAAATTATTCTCTGGATAAGAGAAAGATCATGAAGTTTTTACCTGAGTGTCTATGAGAAGCCATGGCTCAGAGACCCAATTCAGGAGCAGCAACTAGACCAGTCTTCCCTCAACCCCAGCTGATAAGGCTGTGGCTCATTTGTGGACATACATTTAAGGGGAAGCGGCTCACAAAAATAACCAAGAGCAGATGTCCTACCCCTCCCCCAAGATCACAACCTTAATCCCACTAGAAAATTCTTAACCATTTTAGGTGATCCAAAGGAGAAGAATAGGACCCAGTAAAAATACCAAACGCTACATATAAATACCTGTGGGGCTACTCAGCATCCAAATTAGCTCCAGAGCCCGAGAGGCCACATAGAAAGTCATCCCTGTACCGGAATAAAATTTGGACTCAGCTCTGACATAGCTTAATGCTGAGCCAACCTTATTAATCCACTTTATATGCCCCAGGAACTTGCCTTTGGCCCTATAAATAATGCATTTTTGTGTTGTTAATGATGAAAGTAACTATAAGAGACAAACTTTTGTTACCAGTATAATTAAAGGGAATTAGCCACTACAACTATAGAGATAAAGGGCATTATAGATACTTAACTCAATGTCCTCCTTGGTATGTACCAGAAATCAGCAGACTGCTGAGATGGGGAGCAATTCTAGCCACCCTATCTTCCCAGCATCAGATAGAACAGAATGAAATGGGGACACACACTTGCATATCCCTGCTACATACACAATAAAGGCACTATCCCAACAACTCATTTTCCTGCTTTTTATTGTCAGGGACAATAAAAGTCAAAACGTGAATTAAGATGTCAACCTCATACTTTATATTATCTCCATAACCCATCAGTTGGCTGGATATAAGCAAGCATGAACAGGTTTCTAGGAAAAGCCTCTAAGTCCACCAGGGACCCATCCTCACCTCACCCTGGCTCCACCTTACTAACTACCTCAATGTTCCCTGCACCCTCCGGCACAGAGCCTCTTCCAGGTGCTCCTTTACCCCCTTCTTCAAGTCTTTGCTTCAAGCCACTTTGTCAGTGAATTCTCGTTTGACCACTCTCACAGTTCAAATTGCAACCATGCTCCCTCTACATACTCTCCCTGCTTCCTCAATTTGCTTTTCTCACAATTCTAAAGCCCTTCTAAGACAGTAGGCAGCACACTGCCTTCTCTTACTGCTTTGACTCTCTCTCCTCACTATGGTGGTGGCATTCACTGCTGTGACTTCAGTAGCTGCAACACAGCCCAGCTTTCAGCAGGTGCTCAAAAACTATGTGTTGGAAGAAATGAATTCAAAGAAGTCATAAGTGTCAATCAAACTTCCAAACATAGTCCCGGCCAGAATCCTAAAAGTGGCTTTGGCTACTGGACTTCAAGGGAAGGCAGCTGACTTCCACTCTGGGACAGGCCCTAGGCCCAGTACCTTTATAGCCACCATCTGGTATGATAGTGCGTGTCACTGTTTCTGGTTCTAGTCACACATCTCCCCTACCAGGCTGAGAACTGGGAGAGAGCCTTGCTTGTCTTCATTTTCCTCCTACAGCATATAGTAGGTAAATGTTTCATGGATAAATGAGTGAATGACTTTCCCAATTCTTATGCTCTTCAAGCCTTCAAGGAAAAGTTACTCTAAAAGATAACAAGATTGGTGCTCTTTCCAGTTTATTTGCTGGATAATGGCATAAGAATAAAAGCCAGGATGTTTCCAGCAAATATATTACCTATTAGGGTCAAAAATAAGCCTGGGAAAATAAGGGAGGTGGCACTATGCTCTCCACCCACACTTTTCTAGCCTTTTCCTTGTCCAGGCTGATTAAATGATGGCAGAGATTGGCCAGTTGCAACAATACCACACCCCTAAAATAAACTTACACTTTTCACCTTGAGGAAATTCTCTTATTTTATTAGATGATTAAGCTTTACAAACCCTAAAATTTAGATTTCAGTGAGGCATCTTTTTAGATAGAGGTGATGTGGTTTTGAATGGATCCATTGTAGTGTGGTGAATATACACTTAGTACAGTGAATGGTTTCCTTTTAGAATTCTAGTTTCAAGTAGGACATGAAGATGTCGATTCTTGTAGCAAGTGAAGGCCTTTTATGTGTCAGATCATTGTGAAAAGCAACCACAGAACATGAACAGACATATAACCTTATGAAGTTGGCAAGTAAACTTAAACCTATTTTTCCTGAAATATAAGAGACTATACAAAAACAAGAGAATTTCTACCCACTAATTAATTAGCCAATGACAACAAGCCAGTGTGAGCTGGGAGCTGCAACTTACATCAACTGGATAAATATGCCTTCCTGGAAACTTCATGAAGTAGGACCATTTCCTATTCACAGACATTGGTCCTCACTGCTAAAGTCCTCAACTCACAAAGTAGACCTTTCACAGAACCAAAACAGAAAAGGCCCTTTGCCATGTGAAAAACAATTTCTCAGTAAGAATAGTTGGGTGACTTGTCCTATCTTGGATCAGTGGTTCAGACACCCTGATGGTTATTTAGCAGATACTCAAACAGTCACTGGCTTCATTGGTGTCTAAGCTGATCCTATTACACATTAACGGTATGACATTTAATAACATCCTCTATAATCACTGTACTGTTTACAAAGTGCCTTTCTACACTGTTGGTGGGGCTGGCTGGTGTTTAAGGAACAACACTCTTTAGTTTCTCTCCTATGCTAGCAAAATCAGGATGATTTTCAGTGAAGGCTAGGCATCAAGGCCCCTCAGCTTCCTCTAGCATGTGATCCTCTGAGAGCCATTTATATCAGTGTTCACCTACATACACACCCTCATCTTCCAACTATCCACGGATATATTATACCATTTCATTGGGGCCCATCTGTAGACAGTACTACTCCATCTATTCACTTCTCTTATAGAACTAACACTTATTGAACAGATGTCCTACTATGTGGTACAAGGTATTTTGCCAGACATGAAAAATAAAATGCAGTCCTTACTTTCAAGTGTACAGAGATAAATATGCAGATGACTGCCATGCACGACAGAGTATGGTGAGTATTGCAGGGGTTATTTGCCCAGGCTGGCTTTGAACCACGATCCTCCTGATCTCTGCCTCCTGAGTAGCTAGGATTACAGGTGTGAGCCACAGTGGTACTGGGGTTTGACCTCAGGGCCAAGGCAGGCACTCTACCACTTGAGCCATTCTGCTAGTCCTCTATTTTCCTTTTACTGAAGACATTTCCAAATGGTTGAAAACTTATTCAGACCATTACTGGTACTTAATCGTGACAAGAGGCAAAAGGATGATAACCTGGAATGGAGTCTTTGGGGATTTATCAATGGTTTTATCTTAACTTTTTCACATTATTCTTTTCCCCTTTCCTACTACTAATAAATTAATACACCAATACACCACAAGTGTTTTCTCAACATAATTTTGTCATGCTACTAGTCCCTATGCCAACGATTTCCCCTAGTGAGTCCAACTGCAAGATTAAGGCATCTAGTCATGTACTATGATATGATGTGATTCAATGTTAAACTCTCTGGAGTATTTCTTGTCCTATGTACTCTTGCCAGAAAAAGTCCAGAGCAGCTTTGGCCATCTCAGGTTCCTGTCAATCTTTAAGGTGGGAAGAGTACTTTTTCCTATTGACAAGTCCAACTTGGCAAAGTCACTGTTTAAATGTCACAATTCCCAGCATACCCATCAAAGAGAACCCCAAAACCACACAGTAGGTGAGTCCATCATGAAGAGCCAAATGAATCAAAATTCTGCCTCCCAAAAGGGCCTCTGAATTTCAGAGTAAAGGCAAGAGTGGCTATGAAAAGGGTAAGACCGGTCACAAGTGAGATACAACACATGAAATAAAAGTCCATATAGACAGCAAGGCACCTTGAAAATCCTAAGTCACTCCACTGAAGACCTGTTCATTTCACAATTGACCAAGACTTAGAAGGTTTCCTTATTAATCACTCAAGGATTAAGTATTGAAGCATGTGCCATGGCCTCTGCCATTTGATTTCTGGAAATGTCATTCCATGATTAGTAACAGTTCTAAATGTCTCCTGTCCCCATAGTATGCCCTTTCCTATGTTGCTACTAGACTCTCACCAAGATAATGAAACTGTCTCAACCATATCCTACAGATATTCTTATGGGACTCTAACCAGAAATCATTACCAAGACAACACTAAACAAATGACTTTGAAAGCAAGTCACTAGATTATCTCAAATTTAAAAAAAATAGAGGTGGCATTAAAAGAGAAATAAATAAAGAGAAAAGCAAAACCAGAAAATAAATAGAACCCAGAAACAATTTTAGAAGGAAATACATAATACATATATAGACTCTCAGATCAAGGGGAAATGAATGCTTAATGAAACTGAGAAGCTACTGGTAGAGATAAATCTTTGTCATATTTTAGGTGTTAAAATTCTCTTCCAGTCTATTTCTACCACCCACTTGTGATATATCTGTTTTATTTCCATGTTGCCATGTGCCGTGATTCAAAACACCCTTTCAATCATGCTAAGTCCTGGCATTCACCAACTCCACCTGTTATGGACATGTCAATCCTCTGATAGAGGCTTGAGGGCTAAATATTCCACGGCCCTGTTCTATAATTTACCCAGCTGATTAATAACCCTAACAGGAAATAAGAGCAAGTCAAAGAAGATTCTATCTATACCTCATTCTTAATGCTGATAACTACAATTGACTTCCTTGATCAGAGAGACACCATAATACTTTGTGAACCCTGCTTCCTGGTGTGAAATAATAAGGCTAGTAATATATAATCTGTCTTCGTTCACCAAAGGACTGTAATAAACACATTGATTTATTATGCATTAGTGTTTTCAAGCACAGAGTATAGTCCTAGAATTCAAGGTTAAGGTTGAAGAAACTCATGAGTGGCTACATGGGGTTGCAAAATAGAACATCTGAACTTAACAAGATGGTAGACAGAAAGAGAGCAGGAGACCTCAATGTCACTCAGGAAGCCCATATCTTATTAGAAGCTAGAATTGACTGTTTTGATAGCAGGGGCAATCTGGATTTCTGGAGAACTGAAAAAGTACCAAGTACTGAAAAAGTATTTGGCCCCCATCTGCCTAGTTTCCCCAAGGGCCCTTATTTGTCTGCCCAGTAGTGTCTCCATCCAGACTCCGCCCAGGAATACT